CATTAAAAACTATAGCAAAAATTATGCAATACGTGATGAAAAGGTTAGAGTATACATTTAAGGAAATCTCACATGAAGCTGAGCATAAGACAACAGAAAGGAAAAGAGAGGAAACAAGAATTAGTGAATCATTCCAGGAGATCAGCCACCCCCATCAGAACCTAATGTGGGAGAAAACAAGGGAAATCGCAGCGGAGATCGTTGAAGGCCGCGGTCACAGCCGGAGGGCAGGCTGCCCCGGGGCCCAAGCGCCACGTGGTGGGGAGAAAGGCCTCGCCAAGCCTTCACTTTGGACGTTTCCGAATCATGGGGACAAAGAGAAGATCTTACTAACATCCAGAGAGAAAAGCCAAAGGATCTGGAATCAGGGCCTCACATTTCAGGGACAATATTGGGGATGGGCCTTCACAGCCCCGGGAGGTGGTTTTGAAGCCGGACTTCCATCCGCGGCTGCCATAGCCGTGCAGTGAGGGGAGCGTGACTCCAGGCTCCCACAGACAGTGCCCCGAGCCCGGCCTCCCAGGGCGTGCTTGGAGTCTGAGTGCCTGTCGGATGAGAGAAGGGCCAGGAGAGAAGCCGAGCGGGATGCAGACGGAGGGAGTCCCTGGGAGGACCAGGCGGCTGACCCAGGACGCGGCTGTGCGGGACCCCAGGGGCCTGGCCGCGCAGGGCTCTGCAGCCTCCTGGCTGGTGTGTGCAGGGCTGCAGGCCTCTCGCCCTGCGGACGGGAGCCTGTCCTGGACTCGTCCTCGGCACTGACGTGCCTGGACCGCGTCGCCCCTGCTCCCCTCCCTGCCTCTGGCCTCTCTCACCCGCGAAGCGCCTTCTCCACAGGCGCCTTCTGCCTGGCCCGTACCCGAGGACTGTTGTCGGCCACAGTAGGCACGGAAGTGGTGCAGGGCGGTTCTGGTCCAGGAGGTCCTACGGGATGCCACAGCAGGCCAGCCTTCCGTTTCCTGGGGTCACTCATGACCTTGCCCCAGAAGGGGCTCTTTTCTTGCCAACTGTACTGGGGTCTGGGGACAGACTGGGCCTGAGACTTTATGTTCCTAGGAACCTTTACCACCTTCTTGGTCTGCTACCTTTGTGCTCCCTGCTGTCAGATGAAGAGCACATGCTTAGGGACACGTCCACGACTGGTATGACTACAAGGAGAAGCAAGGGGGTGCCTAGCAGTCAGCGCCTTGCTGGGGGGTGGGCATGCGATGGGGGGCAGGGAGCTGAGCTGCCTCCTCCTGGGGTGGCAGGGGAGCCCGTGGTTGCTGCTGTGCCCCTCTTCTTTCCCAGCACTTGTGCTCTTCAGCACATGTGACACATTTCGCAAGGGAACATGAGGGCATTTGCGGATGAACGGTGCCTGCCCCTAACCCCCCCCATGGCCTTCGTCTCTCCCGCCCTCATGTATAGGCAGAAATGTCAGTGTAAGAGGAAATCATGGTTACATAGTTGAAATACCTATTATTTTCCCCAAGATTTGAGTGAGTCATTCTTTACGTGAACAGACCTTAAACTTTGGCTGTTTTCTAAAGAATAGCGTTTCTCTTTATTTCATGTCTGTATGATGACATGAAAGGGTGTCATGAAAAGAGGACTTCACCCATGTCATGGAAAATTACGGCATCCTTTTTATGATCATTTATTTTTTTTTAAAAAAAAAGAGACAACAGATTTTTTTCTATTTCTGATTGAGAACTTGTAGTTCTCAGCACAGGCCATTTCTTTTTGAAACTCTGAATGTAGTCTTTGTGCTGTTACTAACGTCATGGGTCTGATTGTATTAATATGTTTCTCAAGGCACAACCTATAAAAGCAATTTTCTACTCTGCCATAAAATATTCATGAGAATACAGGCTCTGTTGTTTGGGTGCCGCATTCTTTAAGCAGAGAAGGTTTTATTGTTTTCTCCAGGGTGCTTTGGGTCAAAAGTGCTAGCAGTTTCTGTTGGGAACTCATGGCATTTCAAGTCGTTTTTGATACAGAAATAGTACAAGTCCCGGTTGACGCACTGGATGAATGGGGCTGTGGTGCTGGTCTCCGCAGCTGGTGCACGGGTGGGCCGGGGACGGCGGGCCACCTCCCAGCACCTGGCGTCCTGCCGGGTGTGCCAGGCGGGGGAGGCAGTGCTCCTGAGGAGGCCGCTGGGGGTCCCGAGCACACGTGCCCGTGAGTGCCCATGTCTGGCTCTACCGCGGTGCAGTTCTCATGGTCACCGTGTGTCTTATGTAGGTGACACGTGGCTTTACATTCTCTCTGCTCTGCTTTTGACCTTCTTTAGCAGAAGAATGAAGTTCTATATGATACTTCAAAATGGTAAACAAAGGCAGCACTCGGATCCCTTTCCTGCAGTAAGTAAGCCCTCGGGGGCCACACTGCAGGAGACAACTCTGACCCGGCCTGTCAGCCGCTGCACCCCGCACCCCCACTCACTCGCCCCTGCCTGACCAGACGAGAGTGTGGGAGAGCCATCAGTCGGCCGGTCTTGCTGATGAGCTTGGACTCAGACGTTCTCAATAACCCATCAGCAGCCCAGAAAAACAAAGTCATGTTTATCTGTGAAAGCAAGGTTGGCTGACCTGAGGAGGCGCGTTAGTGACTTGCCTGAACTCTGAAGTGGCCTTAGCAGGCGATGAGAACAGCTTTCAGGCCCGGTCAGTGGGCTTAGAGAGGGCGTGGGCGAAGCTGGCAGTCACCACAGCACCGTGTTCGGAGCGCCCCGCCTGCCACACCTGCTGAGGAAGGGACACGTGAACCAGTTTCCTTTAAGAATCCGAGGCACCTTTTAAGTTCTTTCGCTGAGCTTTCCTCCCTGGCCTCCATATTTTATTCCTTAAAAGAAAGTCTAAAACTATGGGGAAAATATGGAGGTGTTATAAAACTGGTACTATTTATTCAGTTTTTCTGTTTTGCTGTATTTTGTGATAAAAATGATCAGAAACAGAAAAGAAAGGAAATTAATAAATCCAGCCTTTACCAGCTTGTGTGTGGTGGCACGGTAGAGCCTGCTTCTGTTCTTGAAGACAGTTTATTATGTGTGTGGACTTTTCTCATGTAAATAACTCGTAATATCCTGTTAATACGTCAGGCTGGTACCCATTTGGACAAAAATACATACGTGCATTTAAAACGTTGGCAGTTGCGCATCACTGACTTGGGGAAGAAGCGGAAGAGGGACGATCAGTGGGTATTGATCATGTGCCTGTGCACCACGAAGATCGGATGCTGAGATTTGCCGGCCCCCCTCCCTGAGGCCTGGGGCCGGGCCCTCCGTGTGTGGAAGCCGCCGCCGGCTCTAGGCGTCTGTCAGCGCAGCATGGGACCTCGGGTGGTGCTCAGGCCAGCCCGGAGCCAGGGCTTGGCTGCAGGTCCCAGGGCGGAAAAGGCAGCGATTTCGGTGAAGGAACCAGAGTGCCTTGCGTCCCGGGCACCGCTGTGCCTGGGCAGCTCCCTGGACATGGCCTGCGTGAGCTGGGCCCTGCAGGCATGATGGCCCCAGTGTAATCGAGGACACCAGTGCTTAGAGTGTCCTGGATGGAGCTGGCTTGGGGGCCAGAAGCCAGGCTTCCCTGTCAGCAGCGTGCGCTGGCCTTGCCTCATGAGAATTACCGCCAGCATGGCACCTGCTACCTGGGTGGCGACTGCAGAAATGCTCTGACCCACGGGACGTTTATCCAGGATCCTGGGGCCAGGGAGCTGTGGAGCACACACTTCCCAAGGAGCTGGGCCACATCTGGACTCAGAGGCCCTGCGGCCAGGGGGTCGGTCCCAGGGCATGTGGGTGGGCACTCTCAGGGAGGCACTGGGGCAGGGTCAGTGCACAGCATGCCCTGACCTGCAAGGGTCCAGGCAGAGGTGGCCCGATGGTAAGGACCCAGTCCTTGGTGGCCCTGGTCTGTTCAGTTTGGGCTCCTGTCTCAGCCTCGAGCCCCTGAAGGCTTTGGTCTCCTGCCCTCTGCCCTCCAGGTCTGATGTAGGTCAGCTGCTGAAAACTGAGCCTGGAGCAGGTTGTAGGAGAGCTTTCTGGAAAGGATGTGCAGAGGCGCACGGGCTGGTCGGGCTGGCACCGCAGTGCCTCAGGGAGCCATGAGCGGAGCCCAGGGGCTCGTCCGTGTGTTTGAGGGGCACCACGGCAGTGAGTTTGCAGGGCCACATTCACAGCGCGTGCCACACACACCTCTGTGCTTCTCAGACATAGGCCTGCCGTCCAAAGAGTGCCCGCACCGGGCTGCTCTGTGATATCCATGATTTAAAACTTTCCTTCTGCATTCTTTTTCTCACTTTAATTCTGTATTGATTTGTAAGCATTAAGATTGATTTAGCTTCTGTTTCTAATCAGAATCACTTGAAGCTCCTTTTTGGCAGTACATTAGTACAATAGGGAAAACCTATTTCTTTGTGAGGTACAGAAGCACATAACCCTGATGGATGTGCTGCACCGCGAGCCGGGAGAACGTTTTATTGGCTGCAGTCCGTAAACATGTTTTCTGAGAGGGCGCTCACTTCACCATGGAAACGGCTCTCCGTCTTGAGCGTCTGTCTGGACCACTTCATGGCACACACTGTTCTGGGGTTCATGCACACGAGTCTTCAGTGGCTTCGTGAAAAAGGAGAAGAAAAGCCGAGGCCAGTTAGCTTTTCGTTCACTGGTGTTTAGCTCTTCAGAGCCATTTCCTTCCTTTTTCACTTCATTGACCTTCAGAAATGATGCCTGCAGCGGGGTCCTGAGAGAGCAGGGCCTCCCCGCGTGGAGGTGGGGTGGAGGGAAACGAGTTCGTGAGTGCGTCTTGGTCTGACCTTCCACTCCTTCGGTGCTGAAGGAGTGGGTCCGTCAGGGTGGCCGCATCCTGCATTCCAGGCCTGTTGGGAAAGAGAGGGGGAGAGACCTTGGCAATGGGGAAGGTCCTACGGCATGTGGGTCCCCCAACGGGGGGGGCAGGAGGAGGGGCTGGGGGCCTGCGGGGACCACGGAGTGACCGGGCTCTGTGCTGTGCTCTCTCCCGTAGCAGACGTGGCCTCAGCCCTGCCTTTGCCGGTCGCGCCCCCGGCGGTGCCCATGGAGCTGCGCCTGGACCACCAGTTCCCGCTGCCCGTGGCGGAGCCCACCCTCCGCGAGCAGCAGCTGCAGCAGGAGCTACTGGCCCTGAAGCAGAAGCAGCAGCTGCAGCGGCAGATCCTCATCGCCGAGTTCCAGAGGCAGCACGAGCAGCTCTCCCGGCAGCACGAGGCCCAGCTCCACGAGCACGTCAGGGTGAGTCTGGGCGCCGCCTGCCCATCCGGGCGTCCCGCTGCAGAGCCCGCCGCAGCCCTCACTGTGCTGAGGCACTGGACACCGGTGTGCCTGACCCTGGGGCCCCGGCTAGCTGACTCACAGTGGGTACAGCGTAGAGTGGGGAGCAGTGTCTAAGAGCCCCGATGTGGACGTGCATGTGCACGTGCAAGGGGGAGAGTGCCTGTCATGTAATTTCATCCCAAAGCATCAGATGTGTCCCTAAACAGGAAAATCATCGGCGAGAAGAAACACCAGAATGTAACAACGATCGTGTCCGCATGGCGATTTCCAAACCATGTTTATTTTCTCTTTGGACTTGTCAGATCTTGTTTCTTTCCATAGGCCTGTTATAATTGGAAAAAGATAGTGATATTTTCTTTTCACCTAAATGGAATAAGAAATTAGTTTATCTTTTGTATTTACTCTCTACCCATATTTAATATGATCCCAGATTTTACAGTTACATACACTGGGAAGAAACGTGTCGGTGACGTGTAGGGACATTGCACCATACAGTCGCTGGGCCCACAGTGGTGTCTGTGACTCTGACGTGCCCTCACTCCATTTAGAGCCACGTGGAACGACACTGTCCAGTAGAATTAATGTAGGGTATATTAAAATTACATGAATAATTTGACGAGGTCTGGTGGCCACCTTAGAGCAAAAACACCCAGGCCATGTGAGTCGTCTATTTCTGTGTAACAAATGACACCAGAATTTAGCAGCTTTAAACAACAGACATGTACCATGTCCGGTCTCTATGGTCGGGAGTCCAGGGGCTGCTCAGCAGGGGGCTGTGAGCGCAGGTCCTTCGGGGTGGTGCTGGGGCTGTCGGGCAGGGGGCTGGGGCTGCAGGGCTTACTCCCACCGCTCATCCCCCTCAGAGGGAGCCATCCAGCTGACTGTGTCTTCTGTGGCCTGACCTTGGAAGGGACACACCCTTTCTAAAGCCTTAATCTGCTGGTCGCGTGGCCCAATACTGGCACATCCAGACGGGCCTAGACAAGAAAACCAGGGGCAGGGATCGCTGGGTGCCATGGGGGCTTGCCTGCCAAACAGCAAAGTTTGTTTGTTGTATTTACCTTCATATTTCTAAAGTACTTTTTTAATGTGGGGTCGATGTTAAAGTCTTAGGTTCATGCTAAGTCTTGGTAAACAAACCATTGCAACTAGGCACGTAGAGCAAATCTCCACGTGGACCAACTGTATTCGCGCTCTGTGTCCTACGGTCTGTGGCTGCTGCTCTGGGCAACGCAGATATGGAGAATCAAAGCCCACCTCTGTGACTTCCTTCAATGCTTCCCCCGTGCCCTTTCCATGGAGACCCATGGCCGTGCGCGGGTGTGGCTCTGTCTGGTCTTAGCTGCCGCAGGCATCAGGCCACACCCAGGTGGCATGTGCCCTGCAGCGTACCTGGTGCACCTGTCTGTGTCTGCCTTCACCACAGGAGCTTACCCCTCCTTGTGTACATGAGCACAGCATATTCGTGTAGTAATCACAGTCGGGAGGAGGAGGCTATATCAGCTGTCTGCAGACTTCCCACAGACACGCGGGGCGAGGCTGCCTGGGCCTGCCCAGTGAGCTGTGTCCCAGCACCCTGTGTGCCCAGGGTAGCTCCCAGTCCATGCCTCATGAGGACCATGGCAAGCAGTGCCTCTGAGGGCACCTCCCAGAGCATTGTCCTTAGCCAGGCCAAGCTGGGAAGCTGCACAGAGGCCCTGCGTCCTCGGCATTTGGGCCTCACTTTGGTTTTTGTTGGCTTGTGGGGGTTGCCGTGGCCTCTGTGGTGTGTCGTCCTGCCTTGGCTGGCCACCCAAGGCCGCATTGGACAGACTAAGGTCAGGATGCCTTCTTGAACTACTAGGAGTCTAGGCCTTACCGTTCGCCTGCAGTATTCTGAGCAACCTGGGGGCCCCGAGTTACAAAGATGTTACTGGTCTCCATGGAGACTGGCCACCATTGTGATCCTTCAGTTTTGGTGATGCACTCTTGGGCTTGGGGTGGGGCGTTTGAGGGGTCCACGATAGCACGCGCCATGCCCTTCACTTCCCACACACGTGACCTGCTTCTCTGGCAGCTACTGTGCAGGGCTGGTGGGGTCTGTGTGGCTGGACCTGCTAGCCACCGAGGCCCACCCATGCTGTGTTTGGGCGTAGCAGCATGCCTCTGATTTTTAGGATGGGAGAAAGGTCTGTGTCAGGCTGGCCATGGGAAATGGTTGCAGGCCAGCCGAAAGTCACTCCCGGGAGCTGCTTATAGCCCACACAGCAGCCTCGATTTGCAGGCCTTTTAGCAACTGAGAAGAGCCCCCAACAGGCTGCCTGTTTCCTTTGTCTTTGAAGCTGTTTCTGTGACTCCTAAAAGCAACTCAAAACCAGACCCAGCTCTGTGATACCCAGGACATGCAGCCAGTCCACGCTGGGTGCCGTTGTGTACTGCTGGGCAGCCGCCGTGGTGGTGGCCGTCCCACATCTGCCATCCTAGAAATCAGAGGGACCACCACACCGGTCTCCTCCCACCCATTCAGATAGGCCCCCTCTGACCTGGCCGCCTCACCTCCAGGCCAGGGCACCACGTGCCCCCACATGCCCCCCGTCCCTGCAGCAGGATGGCAGGCCCTGCTGTGCACTCAACTGCCTCTCCCCAGCTTTCCTGCAGGCCTAGCCCAGGGCCTCGAGGAGGGAGCTCAGAGCCACTTGTTGAATTGCCTTTTTCCTATGTTTTTACTGTCCCTCGCACACACGTGTCCCCGACCTGCTAATATACCAGGGAGCATTCGACCGGCATGTGCCTGGACAACTGTGTCCTGGACTCACACTGGTGGGTTCCTGTGCCAAGAGGGATCAAGGAGACAGCGATTTTCTGTGTTATCACGCGTGTGTCAGTTGAATTTGTAGCTGTTACAAGAAAGAAACCATGAGAATTGAGGAGTCAGCCCCATGAGTGAGAGGAGCTGTGGGGCAGCGCTCGGGAGCACAAGGGCTATGGGGGGCGGCCCGGGGCCTCGCCTCTCTCCGTCTGCTGCTTCCGGAGTTTGTGTGCCCGCTTGGAGGAGGACGGGTCTCCTGAGTTCTCACATCAAGAGCCCCTGGGCCCTGGAGCAGGCGCCACACAGCTGACCAGGCCTGACCGTTGGCTTGGCATTTAATTATTTCATTTTTGCATTTAGGATGGGGATCATAGACACCGTTCAGACCTTGTAACTGTGTCGTCGCATCAGCCGGCTTTGGTCAGATGACTCAACCTCCCTCCACATGCCTTTGCATCACTGTGGGCATTTGGCAGTGGTGTTTGTCAGAGAGATTTCTTGAGCTCCATTTAAATCATTGTTAAATCATTGGTGAATCTGAGTAGAATTTTGTGATTAAAAAGGAAACAGTTCTTAAATGTAAGTTAAGTCACTCTCTTTGGGTAAGTCCCACAGTTCTTGACAAGGTCCCAGAACTGCCCTTGTACTTGACGTGGGGGCCCCTGGCTGGTCGTGGCTCACTGGTACTGCCTTCCGACACGTGGTTCTCCCAGCCCCCGAGCCAGTTCCCAGGTGAGCCAGGCTCCGAGCAGAGGATGGAGGGAGGGAGGGGCTTGGGGCCACGGTGTTTATGCCCCACGAGAGTTAACAATTCCATCAACTGGGCTGGAGTTGGTGACTGAAAGAGCCTTACCGAGATTTACTGCTTTGGGGGTTTGTTGTGTTTTTACCTTTTTAAATTTTATCAAATAAATGCACATTTCTAATGCTGTAGTCTAGAAGTCATTGTAGTGCCAGCCAGTGGAACCTGCCTCCCCCCGCCCTCCCTCTCTCCCACCTGGATCGCAAGGCCTGAGGGCTGCTGTGCTCCCTGCCTCTGGTGGGCCAGCTTTGTCATCTGTTAAACACGGTGATTTCCCACTTGCCAGACAGACAGGGCGCACTTGCCCTCCCCCCCAACACACACACACGGGTGCTTCGCCACTTCCTGGGCACCTTCCGGCACTTAGACCAGCCTTCTGCTAGAGAAAGGCCTGGGACCTGCCCTCTCGTGCCTGTGTGGTGTGCAGAGCTCACCCCGCAGGATGGCTACGTGCCCTTTCCGGTCTGGTTCCTGGCCTTCACTGGGGTTAGTGATCCCCTCTTCCCAGCAGCCTCGTCCCTGTGTCCCCGGAGTGTCTGGCCCCACGCTCCAAGAAGCCTGCGAGCGCTGCTCTAGGCAAACACTGGCGATCGCACTTGGAGTTTTCAGCCCCGTAGTTCTTGTACCACAGGCCATTTTTAAGTATAAGAGGCAAGAATGTGGTTCTTGAACTTCATAGTACCTGAAATCTGAATGTTACATCTTTAGATCAGAATTAATGATTTGCATATTTAATTTATGCAGATAAAAAGTTATGACATGTACACCTATAGGAAATATAATCATGTAAGTGTATAAATAGGGCCCTTCCCACCTGAGGGTGATGACCCCACTCACTGTCCATTCCGTGAGAGTGTCTCAGTTACCTTTTGCTGCATGACAAACCCCAGGAGCAATTGTCGTGTTGAGGGTCATTTGAGCAGTTCTGCGGGCCTGGGTCCCCTCACACTCCTGTCATCAGCTTTGGTCACTGGCAGCTGGGTGACCTGGAGTGGCCTCACTGTCCAGTCTGGTGTTGGCAGGCTGTTAGGGGCCAGCAGATTATCTGCTGGTTTCAGAGCTCCAAGCTCAGCAAGAGGCCAGTGCAGGTCTCAAGGCTGAAGTGAGAATTCATACAGGAATGAACCAATGGAGTGGGTGCTGGGGCATGCAGCAAACCGGGGCCAGAAGTGCATGTTTTCTCTAGGGGGCATCCTTCCTGACTGACTGCGACTGGGGTCGGGGTGCCCATGAGAGGGGGAAGGGGGCAGGGCTGTGGGCCTGGACACAGGACCCCCAGCATGAGCCGCATCACTCCCTGGGCCGTGCTCCGGTCCTGGATCCAGGTGTGCCGTGGCTTCGCCTCCATCCATGGGCAGTGACGTGTCT